GACAACGCCGCGCATGAATGGAACAGCTCAAATTTTATGCGACTTAGCGTTTGCTTGTAATCACGAAGGATGGGAGCACGGGGAAGCTCTATTTTTTTTTCCATCATTACACTCCTGGACAAAATATTACGCCTACCCGTACTTTGTCTCTAATGTTTGTTGTACTGCGACTTTGCACGTGTTGTTTAGATATGCATTGCAAACGACATATTCTAACATAGTTACGATGAGAGGTTTGTGGAATTCGAGCTACGAAGGGAGGCTCCCATACAAAAAACCGCATTATAAGGTCGGACACAATTCACAACCACCAGTCAGTATATAAAGATAAAGTGAAGTGAAGCGAAATGATTACCTCATTACGCTGAATTGCTCCCGACCACCAGTGCCCTGGATGGACGGTAGCGCTGGCGGGGTGAGCTTCTTGCTCGTGCAATGTCATTTTCAAAATGGGTGGGGCGAGGATCACCACTGACTGCGTCCAGACTCTAGGAGATAGGGAAGATGGCTCAGCGCACGTGCTATTGCCAAGACAGTCAAGCGCACTAGAGGCAGTGTACAACTTGCACTGAAGGGCGCCCTCAAGCCACGCCACCGCCCAGCAGGCAGGAAGCCCGCCCTATCGAAACGCCAGACACGTCGCTTGGTTAGAAAGGCAGCAATCGGACACGTTAGCTCTGTCTGCTTAAACAAGGAGCTCGTGGGGAAAACTAAGGAGGGCCCTCCCGGCTGGAGGGCCCTCACATAAAAAAAACAAAAATTCAGAATAAAAATATACTTTACGTCGGCAACGGCAAAAATAGATTTGCCGTTGCCGACGAAAACAGCTATTAGAAACCTTGTGCAAATGTTTCAAAACAGTGAAAAGGTACACTGAAGGCGAATGAGGTTAGGGCAGGCTAGTCATCGTCTTTTTTGCTGGAGAAATGTATGTTAGCTTACTTCTCACGGTGACCACAAATGACAAAGAAACGAGTGGCCGAGGCTACTTAGCGCTGACATGGCTAATGCAGACTGCAACACCCCCAACCCAGCCAGAAGTCCCAGCATTAGTAAGCGCAAGAAGGCCTTCCGTTTCGTACCGTCGAGTGACATCATGTTGCTCAAAGAAGCCCTCAAGCACAGACCCTGGGCGGCTATCCATGGTGAGACGCTAGCCGCGTGGACAAGCGTCGCCACAGGACTCAAGGTAGCGCTCACATCGTGTGCCGCCGACGACAAGGCTTGCTTGCCGTCGCCGCTTCAATACGCTCCTGGAGGTATATCGCCGCGACGAGCACGACTCGTTGAGAGCGTCGGGTTCTGCCGAAGACTACGAGGAGCGTGAGCAACTACTGACAGACTGCATGACTCTGGTAAGTTTTAGTTGATACTAGTGAGACAAGTTTTGCTTATGCTTTTTATCTACAGTATAATGAGCACGCACAAGCCAAGGCTGATAAGACAGGAAAGGAGAAAAGAGAGGCTGAACGCCGTGAGTCGGCTTCGGCAGAAGTAGTTCAGAGCGCAATGGAGGGCTTACGACGGTCCCGTTCAGGAAGCTCTGAAAGTGAGCTATCGACCCCCCCCCCTCCAGCCGAGCAAAACGAAGAAAAAGTCAAGCACTGAGGCTCTTGTCGAGCTATCACTGTCCATTGCTTTG